AAAAAAAAAAAAAAAAAAAAAAAAAAAAAAAAAAAAAAAAAAAAAAAAAAAAAATTATGGATGCACTTTAAAGATCAATCACACGAGATAGCTTCTGAATACGGTTCAATAATAAATCTCCCTGCTTGATGGTCGACTGGTAAAGGGCATTTTTCGCGTCCGGACGATTGGTTTCTAGCACACCGGCAACTTTGTCTATCTTGCAATGTAACTTCCCAGCGGCAATAAACCGAGACAGCTCCCTAAAACAGATGAGAACTCCATTAAACACTTACATACCAGAAAACAGTCTACAAAGTACCATTTATTATATAGCACAATGCACATTTTTAACTACTCACACATCAATGAAATCCACTGTGACTCCAAATGCTTTAGCCATAGCTTCAATAGTTACACTCTTGTAGGATTCTAAGAACTGGGAATAAACTACAGTTCTTATCTCCCTCATGTAGTACCGGAAGTGTGGATGCAGATAGCGATCCAACTTAATATGCTCGGTCAAGCCAGCTTGAACAACAAAGTAGGAAAGTGTTAAAACAAGGGTAACTTTAGCTAATAGTACAATTTGAATCATAACATTTAATTCCAGAAACATGTAATCCTGCAGAGAGTACTTACCAAAAGCGGTGAAAAATGATTTATACTGACAATCATAAAGGGAGTTCAGAAAGTCTGACAAATATGGGATTTTGCCAATAACAGTCAATATCTCTGGGGCATCCACCACCTGCCAGATATATAAACCACATGCAAATGTTGTTGAATCATAATTTTTGTACTTCCCAGAGTGAAAAAGAATGAAAAGGACACATACAAATATGTGTTCGAATCTAATTAAACAAAGACCATTTTAGAAGAAAAATTGCCTACACATTACCTTTTGCTTCAAGGAAACTCTATCCAAGGATATGATGCTAGTAAGAACAGTGTAAAATATGAAGGTGTCATAAGGGAAGAGCTCGTAGGTTGTGAAAGTTGAAATGGAGTCGAGAAACAGAGTGGCGGCTTTTTTGAAATTGCGAGTAGACATGCAGAATAATCCCTCATACACCTTCAAACGGTTCTTTCTCTCCCAGTCACCCCCCTCTTCAAACAAGCTGTGTATATCAAAGTCAGGACCAAATTCTCAAATCTAGTTTGTAGAACTAGAACATAGTTGGAACTATCGAAGAACAGCTTATGCATAGAATCTTACTTCTTTGCTTTGTCAATGCTTTTAGAGATAAGATCAAAGTCCATGTGGAAAAAACCTATCTGTAGAGTGTAGAATACCAAATCCATCTTTTGTCCGACCGCAACTGTTTTGCTCTCGGTTATCTTTAGTTGCTCCAGTGCCTTCTCCTGGATATTTAAAGATAGTTAATTGACATTCAATAAATAAATACAGTGAAAAATTGGCTAGAATGGAAAGCTATGTGTACCTTGTCCCCAATTCGAATGTAAAATAAGGATTTGGCTAAGTGAGCTTCCCTAACTTCACTTTCACCCAAATTTTCTTCTGAATCAGCAATCCTAGATGAATTCAAACGCAGAACATAAGCATGAAAGCAGTGGCTCACTCAGTGTGCTACATGTTGAAAAGCACTGAAGATATTTATCCATATTCTCGCATATTTATGAATTTATAATAGTTTTTGCCTAAATGAAACTTCAATATATTAGGACATAAGGAACCTAGCAAGACACAAACCAACCAACTGAGAAAATCATAAGAATAAAATAAAAATGCTTAAAAGTAGCTTTTCACAATCCATAACAAAGACTGCAGGCTGCAGATGCAGTGATACCAATTTTACTTTTAAAGGTTAACCCCATGGGAAACTGAAAAATAATAATATGATAATTTTCCCTTCAAGCATAACGAACAAAACTGAGAGACATGCTCGATTTTAACTGTTTTATCAAAAGCGATAGATACAGATAATGCCCAAATCAGTTTGCAGTGACAATGGTTAACCACCCATTAAATTTAAAGGGTACACAAGTCACAATATGATCATAAATTTTCATGGAGGTCATTGCACATCTCTACAATTCTTGAATTTACAAACTTAATTTCTCTTCTCATTTAAAAAAATCATTCTCTTAATTGTTTCAGATCAAGTGATTCTTTAGCCAGAAAGAATTCAGTCGGTGAAGATATAGGATACCTATATAGAATTTTTGCAACTCAATGGATGATAGAATCATCAGGGATTTGGCCATTTCAAACTGTACCTGTAACTCGCTAGAGGCCCAAGAAAAAAAGAGATGCGAACTAACTAAGAACAAGAAACACCATATCTATATATCTTAAGAACTAAGCCACCGCATACAGGTTACCGTGATGAACAACTCTTTCAAGATTCCACAACTAGACGATGACACAAATTAATACCCACAAATGCAGTTTGCACTTCTCCATATTCATGATCAAAATATAGCAGTTTTTTAAGTTATTTATCACGACTTATAAACATCTACAGTGTTATGCCAAGTGTGGGGTTAAACCCATTCATCACAAGCTAAAGTACCCTACAGCTATAAAGAGATCCGATCCCTTGTTGGTGATACAAAGCCCAAGATCTTTGCCAAAGGACTACATTGTTCATTATTATCTAAAAGTACTCCAGTTCAGCCACTATTTTAAAAGGTTACTGAAGGAGGATTTTCAAAGGTAATCAAGTGGAATTCACAAAATACCGAAAGGCAAAGATACAATTCCATCCTACACAACTTCAACAATTTACCCATCCAGATTTTTAAGTATTTGTATCGAGGAAAAAAAAAATGAATAAACTAACAGGGAACAAGGATCTCTTGACAGCATCACACATAGAAGCATATGATTATGATCTACTAAAAGAGAAAAAAAGAAACTAGTCGGGCAAGAAAAGAACAACTCACTACTACAACCACAAATACCACAAGCTTCACTAGATAGATAATGACTTTATCAACAAAATAATCGCATAATTCACAGCAATCTCAAATCGCAGCTCCCTGGTTTATTAAATTAGGTTCTGAAATGGAACTAAAGGTTCTATCTGATTAACCAAATTTGAAACTCACTTCTCTTCGAGCTTCTTTAACTCTTCATTTATCTTTGAACGCATCGAATCGAGGGCTTTCTGATCCAGATCCAAAACTTTGGCTGCAACTAATGCTTCGTACAGCGGCGCCATATCTACAGATACCCAATAAATAGAAAATTCTCAAATACTACTTGCAGAACGAACGAATTTAAGCAAAAGAAGATTGAAAAAACAAATAGGTACCGTTGGCGAGGATGAATTGGAAGACCTCGTCTCGAAGGCGAACCTTTTCGATGTCATCAACGTCGTTTTGAGTGAGCAAGAATAGCTTGTTTGCAAGCACAAGCTGCGGCTGCTGTGTTCCCTCTTCACCTTCCATAGCTCAAGTTTTCTTCTTTCGTAATCTCTATTTGATTCTGATATCGAATTGGGAGCTTGCTTCCGGAGAGAGTTAGGAGTAAGGGTTTTAATAAGGTCGGGAAATGTGTATTAATTATTGGGCCTCAAAACTACTAACACGCTTTCCAGTGATTATGGGCCATAACATGCACATTTTTTCTTTTGATTTTTTATTTTTTTGAATAGTAGAGTTCAATTTTATTTTATTTTATTTTTTTTTCAATTTAACGAGTTTATTCTTTAACGAGTTTCTTCTTTAAATTTTAGATTCATGAGGCTTGATTTCAATTTACATATTTCTTTTAGATTTTAAATTTAAATATCTCTCATCTATTTAACTACTATGTAACTCGTGCAATAATGACAACTTATATAAATTAAAGAAGTGAAGGCATATCGAATAGTATAAATATATTTTTTAATATTAAAATTATTTTTTATTTTTTCTTATATATTATGATATATAATAGTTTAATATATAATTTATATGTGTATATAACCCTGATATAGCCATACTGTCGTATAACGGTTCATATGACCACCGGTTCGAAAATAACCGAGTCGACTTAGGCGAAGTCGACTCTCTCCACAGGAACTATAATATCTCCGGTCAAGGGTCCAGGCATCCCTCGGTCGACTTCCACGTGTCGACTGGCTACAATCGATGTCCCCGGAAAAAGGATAAACACATCAGGGCCTTCCGACGACTGAAGATGACCCCGTCGACTCGAGTTGGTATCCCGAGTCCACTGAGGAAGTCTTGAGGCTTATAGATCTCTGTCTATTTGATACACTTCGATACATCATAGGAAAGATGTTAAGGATAAGAGGGAATCTAAATGCTCACTAGGAGAGGGGCGGAATGCGAGCCGACCAGGGTATTTTGGACATTTCTCGTAAGTCGGCCAGGGCATTTTGGGAACTTCAGGTAAATGTCTTGCTCCTATATAAAGGAGTTGAGGTAACCCCAAAACCATAACTCCCATTCATTCCATACTCTCCTCCATTACTGTTGCTGCTGCTCCTTGAGAGCAGCTCTCTTCATCTCTTTGATATACTGACTTGAGCGTCGGAGGCTCTACGCCGGAAACCCCTCCGGCGTTGAGTTCTTGCAGGTTTTCTTGTGGACCAGTAGCAATTTGAAGGAGATAGCGACAGATCTGAGCCCATTCTCATCGGTTTGTTCTAGATCTGAGTCCATTTTCACCGGTTCGCTCCAGATCTGGGAAGAGACCCATTATTTTGGCGCCGTCTGTGGGGAGTTCTTGAAGGAATTAAGAGCTTTACACCTAGCTTTGATCTGTCTCTAATGGCTGAGAAGGAAGGATTACAGAAGAATTTGAACGAGG